TTTTGTCAAGAACAACTTTCTCTTACTAGTTTGAAGCCTGCTACCCATTCCTTTCCTTTGGTGTCCTCTAGTCCTTCTTTATGGGAACTCATGAACTGGCTCTGCGGGCTTCTGGGGGTGGAAGCTCTCCTGCAGCCCCCCAATTGCCCCCTCTCCCCAGATGGCAGCCTGCGGCAAGTGCAGCCAGGCTGATGGCCAATTGCTGTGATGTGCCCAGTGTGGGCACTCCGGGCACACCAAGCTAGGACTGGTTTTCAAGTGGGACACCCCTGAGAATTGTCTGTCCGGGGTGGGGGTCGGGACCCTTTAAGCACAGCCCTCGGCTAGCCTGAGACAGCATCTCCACGCTCTAAGTCCTCCTGTGATGCCCTGCCGGCACTGCTTCCGGCCATCCTCAAGCCCTGTTCAGAGTCCACTCAATGTGGACATGCTAGTTCGAATTAGCAAAACGCTAATTCGAACTAGTTTTTAGTTCTAGATGCGTTAGTTCAAATTAGCTTAGTTCGAATTAACTAATTCGAACTAAGTTAGTTCGAACTAACTCTGTAGTGTAGACATACCCAAGCAGCATACTGAGGGGCTGTGTCTACACTGGGCCACTTATTCTGGAAAAGCAGCCGCTTTTCCAGAATAAGCTGCGAGCTGTCTACACTGACCCTTGAATTTCCGGAAAAGCAACGATCCTCTACTGTACAAAATCAGCCGCTATTCTGGAAAAACTATTCTGCTCCCGCTCGGGCATAAGTCCTTATTCCGGAACACTGTTCCGGAAAAGGGCCAGTGTAGACAGCCCAGTAGTCTTTTCCGGAAAAAAGCCCTGATTGCAAAAATGGCGATCAGGGCTCTTTTCCAGAAAAGCGCTTCTACATTGGCCACAGACGCTTTTCCGGAAAAAGGGCTTTTCCGGAAAAGCAGTCTGCCAATGTGGACGCTCCTTTTCCGGAAAAACTGAAAACGGAATAGTATTCCGTTTTAAGCATTTCCGGAAATTCATGCCAGTGTAGACACAGCCTGATAGAATTGTTAACCTTCCCCCAGTCCCATAAGAGTAACCCTGATAAATGAGCATACCGCAGAGTATTGGGCAAATCTGGTAACAAAACAAGACTCTGAGCTAGATAGAAACCTGGTCTGACCCAGTCTGGCAATACTTATTCACACGTTAAAAGATCAGAAGGCGGCCATCATTATCATATTATCTGACCTTCTGTATAACACAGGCCACTGGATTCCCTGAATTAATTCCTGATTGAAATACACTGGATCTTTTAGAAAAAAATCCAATCTTGATTTAAAAGTTGTCAGTGGAGGAGAATCCACCACAGGCCTTGGTAAGTTGTTCCAATGGTCAGCTACCCTCAGGGGCTGTGTCTACACTGGGCCACTTATTCCGGAAAAGCAGCCGCTTTTCCGGAATAACTTGCCAGCTGTCTACACTGGCCACTTGCTTTTCCGGAAAAGCAATGACAATCTACTGTAAAATTGTCAGTGTTTTTCCGGAAAAACTATGCTGCTCCTGTTCGGGCAAAAGTCCTTTTCCGGAAAAACTGTTCCGAAAAAGGGCCAGTGTAGACAGCACAGTAGTCTCTTCCGCAAAAAAGCCCCGATCGCGAAAATGGCAATCGGGGCTTTTTTGCTGAAAAGCACGTCTAGATTGGCCATGGACGCTTTTCTGGAAAAAGTGCTTTTCCAGAAAAGCATCCTGCCAATGTAGACGCGCTTTTTCTGGAAATACTTATAAGAGAAAACTGTTCCGTTTTAAGCAGTTCTGGAAAAGGGTGCCAATGTAGACGTAGCCTCTCTGTTGCAAATCTGCACCTTATTTCCACTTGGAAAATCAGAAGAACTGAAGAGCTCCAGCACTACCAGGAAACTGAACCCGGATCAACTGCCTGTCAGGCTCCGTGATAATTGCTAGGCTGTGTCTAGACTGGCAAGTTTTTCCGCAAAATCATCTGCTTTTGTGGAAAAACTTGCCAGCTGTCTACACTGGCTGCTTGAATTTCCGCAAAAGCACTGACTTCCTACTGTAAGAAATCAGCGCTTTTTGCGGAAATAGTATGCTGCTCCCATTCAGGCAAAACTTTTGCACAGGGCCAGTGTAGACATCTGAGATTTGTTTTCCGCAAAAAAACCCCGATCGCAAAAATGGCGATCGGGGCTTTTTTGCGGAAAAGCGCGTCTAGATTGGCCACAGACGCTTTTCTGCAAAAAGTGCTTTTGCGGAAAAGCATCCTGCCAATCTAGACGTGCTTTTCCGAAAATGCCTTTAACAGAAGCATTTCCAGAAAATCATGCTAGTCTAGACGTAGCCCAAATGTTCTTGGTTTTACATGGAAATATCCTCTATTTAGAACTAAAATTGCTTAAAACCATTTACACCAGTACATCTTGGGAACCAAATACATGCAACAAATTAAGCAGCACAGTAATGTGATATTGTACCAATAATTAAGAGTAGACAACGCACACAAGATAATTCAGAATTTCATGCAATAGAGGGAGCTATTGTGCTTGATTAACAAGTTTAAAAGCAGCAGGTACAATTTAAGACTAGGAACATAGCTCCCATCTGATGAAGCGGGTCTTACCCAGAAAGCTCCTGATCCTATATATTTGTTAGTCTCCAAGGTGCCACAGGACTATTGGTTGTTCTCATAGCTAGGTGGCTGGTTGGATTGTGGCTCAAGGGAGAGTCACTTTTTCCTCCCGAGGCAGAGCAAGAGATAAGAGGCAGAGCTTGCTGGCTCCTTGCCCAAATCCAGCTGCAGCCAGGGCACCTGGATCTGTGGAGTGCCTGGACATGCCATGTCCCCTGGTCTCAATCCTGCTGTAGCTGAGATCTGCCATGGCCCAGTCACCCTTTCTTGGCCCAAAAGCCCATGACCAGACCTGCCAGGGCAGAGCTCCCCTACCTGGTTTGAACCCAGCCATGGATGGTCTTCCCAGACCCATTTTGCCTCCCTTCCCCCTACACAACAGAGCCTGGGACTGGACCTGACGTGCCTGGGGCACCCCTCTCTGGCATGAATCCATCAGGAACTGGACCTGCTGTGGCTTGGAGAGGGAGGCCTGTCACTAACTTGGGGCCCCAAGAGAAGAGGAACCCCTAGACACTGACCCAGCCCTTGTTTCTGCTGACTTCAACTGGGCGAAGGGTCCGAAGATGACACTAAGGCATCATGCCCTGGTGCAGGGCGCTAGAGTGACAGTGGCCAGCTGGGGGAAGGGCTTACACAAGAAAGTTTCCCGTGCCAGTGGGGGACACGGGCGGCCATTCCCCCCATTTTTGTCACCCTCCTGCACAGGAGAAGAAACCGTCCCCCCTGGCCCTCACCTCAGAGGTTCATTTAAAGTGGCACAAACAAGAAAAAGTGTTTTATTTACAGTAAGTAACTAAATCGTGTAAGCAAACAGGAGCGGAGAAGGAGCGTTACAAACCCCACACAGAAAGGTGATCTCCAGCTACCGAGAACAGTTTTCTTAATGGCACAACAACCGGACAACTGTCCAGGAACGAATATACGGAATTAACAGGTTACAGCCTCTAGTTCAGTAACATTTAACCAATCTCTGTCCCCTTCTTCTTTCTTTTGTCCTTTGCTACTCAACATTTTTCTCCCCTTCAGTCCCCAGCCCTGTTTATTTTCCTGCGTCTCTCCCATTCTCCTACCTTCCCTGTTACAGATCATCCCCCTGGACTGCTCCGTTCTGTCCCCTGATTTTATCCCTTCCCCTCTTGCTGCCTCTGGGCTGGTTTCTCTGCCAGGGATACTTTCCTGTCACCTTTTTCTTTTCTGTCTTTCACCATTCATGTCCCTCTATTATTGTTTTATTTTAATTTGCATTTTTTTTCTTCCTTTTTCTAATTCCGTCTGGTTAAACTTGTCCCGGCCCTGCCTCCCCCAGGGTTGCCAGCCTCAGGAGTTTTTTTTTTTTTAAAGCAGCAGACTGACCCAAAGATGATTTTTAAAGATTTCTGGTCAATCAGCATCCCTTACCCACCCCAGCACTCTGTGTGTGGCAATCCCAGTGTTACCGGATCTCCCACAGCTACAAGGGAAGAAGGTGACTTTGACCTGGTGGCAGGAGCGCTGGCTGGCAGATTGCTATAAATCACTCCCTGCTGCTTCGGAGCATTCAGATTCTCCCCAACCTTCCCAAACCCTGATTGATTCTGTGTCCTGCCCCCGTACTCCAACCGCTGCCTGTACCCCGCCTGGCTGCTAGTTCTGTTCATGTTCAGCCCTCACCTCTGCCCTCAGGAACCCCCTGCTCATCCTGTAGGCCCAGGAGTTCTTCCCTGTCCCCCTCCCATGCCTGGAGCTGCAGGGAGAGAGGGGTAGAAGTGTTCAGGTATGACAGAGATGAGGAGCCAGGGGCTGGGTAGAGAGGAGTCCTCCAGGGTCAGAGACTGGTGTGTGTGTGAGGCTAGAGAGGCTGTTTTCAGGGACTCAGGCGGAGCTGGGATCCCAGCCACACCCAGAACCAGGGTCGGAGTCTCTCCCCAGGGAGGGAGCCCGGCAGGAATGTGAAAATCAAGGTCTTGGCATCAGCATCGACAAATGCGACCTGCCCCCGGTCACAGTCCAGGCAAACTTGGATCCTGCGGGGGGCTCGGGTCAGAGGCAGGTGGGTCTGAGGGTTGGTGAGAGCCAGGAACTCACCCCCCCACAGCTCCACAGCCCAGATCCCCCCCTCAGGGCTAAGGCTGGTCCATCCCTTTCTGCTGATGGAATCTCTGGCCACCCCCACAGCCCAGTATGGCTCACCCCACGACTCCACCTCCCAGCAGTGTCTCCCCACAGTGAACCCCTCACAGCCCAGCACACAGGCCCGACAGTCATATCGCTCAGGGATGTCGGAGAGTTGCTGCTCCGTGTCCCCCCACGTCACACATTTTCGATTCTCAGACAGGAAAAGCTGGGGATTGGCCGTGTCCGGATCTAGTGTCACATTCGCTGGGGAGAGAGAGAGAATCAGAGCGTGAGGGGCAGAGATCAGCCCTGGGGGAGGCTGGGGCCATTTCTCACCCTCCCCAGCTGCCTCTGTCCTCCCTGAAACTGAGCCGAGCTGTCACTATGGTTCCTCAGCTTGGGCAATGGGACCCACGTCATCATGACTTTCTCATTTGTTTGCAGAAGCTTCGTCCTCCTGCCCTACACCCCACCACCCCAGCCCGGGCTGCCTCGTTCCCAGTGTCAGACCCAGCGCCGAAGGCGTTAGTGAGGTGGGAGCAGAGGAGGCAGGTTCCAGTATGAAACCCCAGAGGGAAACTCTCTCCACTAATGCAGTCTCCAGGCCAGAGCACAGAGCGGAAGGTGCAGCGTGGGGGAAGAGCCGCCTAACCCCAGAGAGCAGGGGGTGGTATTGGGTGGGGCAACCCAAGCCCAGAGAAGGGAGGAGCTGCCAGTGTCACAGGGAGGGCATCTCCCCAAGGCAGGGAGCAGCTCCAATGGGACAGCCCAGGGGAAAGGCCAGATGGGGGAGAAGAGTGATGGGGAGCCCCCCACGCCGGGATAAAGCAGAGGGAGGTGGCAGCCCCAGGGCAGAGAGCTCCGGGGGGGGGGGCGCTGCTCAGGGAGAGGGTTTCCTGCAGCAGCCCGGGCAGGAACTCAGCCCCACGGCTGGTGTCAGGAGCATTCGTGTGACATCAGCTTGGGATTCCCCCCCAGAGTTACGGAACCTCGGTAGAATGTGGCTGAGGGGGGTTCCCCAGCTGGTGGCCTCACCCCCTCCGTGGCCCCGCCCCATCCTCCTCTTGTGAGTGAGGTCCCGCCTCCTGACCCGGCTGTGAGCCTTAGCCACAGTGGGGACCCCCTGAGCCTCCACCTGGCCAAGGGTCAGGGTCCAGAGGGCCTGACAGCTGCCCCTAGCCCATGTCCCCGCCCCCTTGAGTGCACCATCCAGGGCAGGTGGAAGGTCCAGCGCTCAGTGACAGGCAGGGGAGCTCTGGCTTCTGGCTTGGCCAGGGGGCAGGGCCTGAGGAAAGAGGAGCAGGGGTGGGGCCACTGGGAGGGGCCAGCACAGGGAAGAGGCTGCTGCCCCAGACAGAGGCTGCCCTTCATGGAAAGGAGCTGATGAGCTGCCCCACTACAAAGCGCGGCCACTGCCTGCAAAGCTCCAGGTCTCCCCGGGACTTGCAGTTCGTGGGGGTCAACGTGGCCCCCAAACTATCCCCATGTTATCAAATAGGGTGGCCTGGCCATCTCACTTCTTAAAGTGGGCAGGCCTGCCCTCCCCCACCCCACCAGCCCGTCACACCTGATCCAGTGCGCCTGGGTCTCCTCACTAGTCAGTGGGTAAGATTTAGGATTATGTGCGCCAGGGTCGCTGTGGGGTTGGTTGGGAACTTTAGCAGCAATCTCAGGAAGCTGCTTGCACAGGAACTTTCTCACCATTTAAAGACAATCTCCAGCTGCAAACTCACCGTGTCTGAATGCTCGCAGGGATCTTCCTCTTGCTCTCTCCAGTGCAGAGGGCAGAGTGTCTGGCAAGGGATCAGAGAGGTGAAAATTTAGGCTCTCGTATTTATAACACCGTCCCCACTCCACACTGCTAGAACTGCGTTTTAGCGATGCCAGAGGAACAGACTGAGACACACACCGGTATTCCGTAAAAGAAGATTTATGGGTCCTCCCTAAACTACACCTAGGGGGTGAGAGGCTTGAGACTGGAAGAATCCTAGAGTGGGGGCCATGCCCTCAGCCAGCCCCCTTCACCTGCCTGGTGAGTCTCTCTGTTTTCTGGTGTTATGAGAAGCCATCCCCTTCTGGGCACATCCCATTGTCCTGGCACAACCAAACCTTGACCTTGCTTTAAGTGATGGCAAGAGGAAGCTGTGCACCGAATTGGCTGGTTCTAACTCTTACCGTTTAGAAGGGGCTCTGTCACAGGCAGGTTGCAGCTCTAAGAAATGGCCTTTAATTGACAGCTTGTCATTGAAATAATTCAAGGGGTTCAAGAGCCACCAGCTGTGTCTAGACTGGCCAGTTTTTCCGGAAAATCAGCTGCTTTTCCGGAAAAACTTGCCAGCTGTCTACGCTGGCCGCTTGAATTTCCCCAAAAGCACTGACTTCCTACTGTAAGAAATCAGTGCTTTTTGCGGAAACACTATGCTGCTCCCGTTCGGGCAAAAGTCCCTTTTGCGCAAAACTTTTGCGCAAAAGGGCCAGTGTAGACAGCTGAGATTTGTTTTCCGCAAAAAATCCCCGATCGAGAAAATGGCGATGGGGGCTTTTTTGTGGAATAGCGCGTCTAGATTGGCCACGGATGCTTTTCTGCAAAAAGGGCTTTTGCGGAAAAGCATCCAGGCCAATCTAGACGCTCTGTTCTGAAAATGCTTTTAACGGAAAACTTTTCCGTTAAAAGCATTTGTGGAAAATCATGCCAGTCTAGACGTAGCCAGGGAGGCAGGGGGCCCAGCTCCTCTGAGAACCAAGCCCTGGGGCCTAATGATCAGAACCCAAAATCTAAACTGTCACTTTCCCCTCCTTGATCCCTTCTAGGTACCTTTGAACTCCCTCAGAGTCTCCGACAGCGCAAGAGTTATCTGGCAGAAACCACTGACTTGGTCTCCCAGTTCTGGAGAAATCTCCTCTGGCTGCTGGAACTGCTCCTGCTCACACCTGGAGCGAAACAATGTCACAGGTTGATACTGCATTGAGTGACCTGGTTCTTAAGTTCTTGCTAGTGAGTAAATGCTCTGATGGATCTGGATACAGAACCCTCTGCTTCTCCCATGGCCGTACGACGTCCCCCTCAATATCTTTAATAGTCTTACGATCCGGCCTGGAGAGACCATCTCTAGGGACAAAAGGGGAATCGCGTCTCCACGGCCAATTCACTCCTTGGCCTCCAGGCTCCAAGGGACGGGAGGTTCCCAGGGGAAGGGCTGTAGGAATCTGCCCCCTAGGAACTAGACTGAGACACCAGCTCCCTCCTCCCCAGCTCATCCCACACAGCTCTCCAAACAGCCCTCGGGTGGGAAAGACT